TACGAGTAGCCTTGCCAGCTCCCTCACACTCTCTCTGAACCAAAAAGTACCCTGCTTGCTTGCTTTCTCTCTTGGATTGGGTGAGAGGACTGTGGGAGCGCAAGCCGGGTTTGCTGTGTGCAATGCCAGGAGGAGATGAAGGGAGAAAAATTAACTGAAGTTAATGAGACTAAGACTGGAGCTGTTCTCACAGCAAGCAGTGCTAGACCCCAAGAAGGGTGGGCATTTTCTTGAAGCAGTCTACATGTCCAGACAGGAAAGCACATACTCCGTTTTAGTTCATAGATCATATACTCAAAACCTTAAAGAGGCTACTTAGGCCCAGGATGAGGTTCGGTGGTGAAGACAGCTTGCTAGCACTCAGGAAGGACCAGGACTCAATCCCTAGCACTGCCAACAAAACAGGAACAACAAATACTAATGATCATTCTTTAACTGAATTCCACAGCACATATCTACAATCCTGCTTGGGTTTCTGGAGACTGTAAAAATAATTAAAATTAAATTAAAAAAAAGACGGCCAACATGAATTCTTTTCTGACATGCTCACTCTGTGTTATAACAGTTGCCTGAAAGAATATATCAGAAAACTCGATTAATTTCTCCAGAGTTTCAGTTGAAATAAAAGAAAAAACAACTTAGAGGGTGTGTTAAGTAAATGACACGTCCCCCTTTAGTGTAGAAGTTAACCCTTAAAGGTGCCTGAACCACTTAGCAGCTAACAACAGCGGATCTGGGTACACTGTAAGAGAATAAATTCTCATTCTCATCAGGATACAGCAAGGAGAGAGAGAGCAGACCCAGCAGCAGGGAAAGTGGCTCTTTCCAATAGGATCATGAGTATGTCATCATGGGTTGCTTTTGGAGCTACCTGCCTAGTGTTAAGGTGTTCAGCACTCAGGGTGTTCTATCTTGCCTGCTCAAAAAGGGTTTACATGCGTTCCAGGACAAAGTTCATGCATGGAGCCAGCACTGAGTGTGATGCCAGGTAGGGCAAGATCTGTATTTATCAGAGTACCAGGTTGTGCTGTGGATCGGGGACAGGGCATGCAGTATAACAGGTATTCACTGAGTGTGTCTGGTGTGCTCTGCCCTTCTAGTCAGTGCTGGTGACGTGTATGGGCTAGGACTAGTGTTCCCCTTTCAAACCTCACAGTCTAATGGAGGATGAACAAACGGGATCCCAAGGGAGCAACTACTGTAGTTCTACTGCTACATGTCACTCTGGAATCATGAAACCACCATTCTGGAAGGCTTCTGGGGAACCATGGTGATGCATGCCTCTAATCCCAGCACTTGGGAAGCACATGGATCTCTGAGTTCAAGGCCAGCATGGTCTATAGAGCAAGTTCCAGAACAGCCAGGACTATACAGAAATCCTGTCTTAAAAAACCAAAAAGAAAAGAAAAGAAAGAAAGAAAGAAAGAAGGAAGGAAGTTAGGAAGAAAGGATAGACTCAGTGATAGAAAGGTAAGCTGTAAGAGACTGAAGTCCTGGAGGCCAGGGACCCCATCCTGCCATAAACAGAAGGAGGGGTGCAGTAGGTGATTTTGTTCTTTGTTTGCTTGAGGCCAAGCAGTAGGCCTGCTGCAAAGAGCCTTGGTAACCTCAAGCCATTCAAGTGTTCAGTGCAGGAGACTCAGGTTTGCTTCAGAAAAAAAGAACTCTGGTTTCAATGTGTGGAATGGATCTGGGGGTAGGCTCTAGCAAGGGGTAAGCCACCATGGAACTTACCAAACAGACAGAACTGCCAGGACTTGGTGGTGAATATGTGTGTGTGTAAGACTGAAATGGAGGAGAAGCCATAATTACCCTAGGCTTCTGGTTCAGCTAAAATGGAAAACAACAGCAGACGTCAGTGTTGGGAGTTAGAGATCTTGGGGGCCTAAAGAAATCTGAGCGTTGATGTCACTCATTCACTTAGCTTAGGGGATCTTGGGAAATGTATGAGTGCTGGGTTGAGTAGGGTAAGATGTAGGGATCCTTGTGCCCAAACTGGATGAGGGATGAGTCAGGTCCATTCCTGCATCTCCATGGCTATCACTGACTTGATACCCAGCAGATTCCCCCCAGAGACAAAGTCTGTCCCAGCCACTCACCACAGGGTTTCCCACCCACCCAAAAGCTGGCAAGGGGACTGGTAGTAAAGACAAAGAAAGAGGGGCCTTCCTCCAGAGAGTGAAAGAAATTTATCATTCTAGGAACACACTGGGCAATGCTTTGGATAAGATAGGAAGCTAAGGTTTGCACGGAGGCTGGGAACTTTGCGGGGGTGGGGGGGGGGGACAAAACCAAAAAAAAAAAAAGGAACAGGATAAAGCATCTTGTGGACAGGGCCTAGGCTTTACTTGATAAACAAAAGAATGGGGCACAGGGTGTTAGAGTAGGACACTATCTATTTTGTTTTGTTTGAAACATGGTCTTATTGTATAGCCCTGTTACAATAGCTCATGTTCCTTCAGGTGCTGAATGATGTACAAGCTAGCTGGGAAACTGGTTTCTGTAAATTAGCCACAGAAAGGACTTTTTTTGGTTTTTGCTTTTGTTTTTTTGAGACAAGATTAACTGAGTAGCTCTGGCTGTCCTGGAACTCACTCTGTAGACCAGAGCCTCAAACTCAGAATTTTGCCTGCCTCTGCCTCCCGAGAGTGCCGGGATTAAAGGTGTGCGCCACCACTGCCTGGCCAGAAAGGACTTTTGAAGTGACTGGTGGATTAGACTTTCAGAGTTGGAAGAATTTGAGTTCTCTGTCCATTTTGCTTCTATTTTCATAGACGCCGAAGCTAAAGGTAGAGAAAGATAGTGAACTTCCCCAGTCATAGAGCTAATATTGGCTGCAATGAGGTAGGAGTTGGGGTGGGCTGGAACAGCCCACATTTCAGTTTGGTAAGTTCCATTAGACTGACTGATGGACATTTGATCCTAACTGCACTTCATTGTTCCCCTTTCTGTGAATCTTTTCTCTGGGTTTTCTTCATTTGTAGCATGACGGCATTAAGAGGACCTAAGCACTGAGCTCCAGGGAAATAGGGATTCCAACATATTTATTCAGGGGGTAGTCTGTGCTCCTTGATGCACTGTCTGCTTCATAGAGGTGACCTCAACGTTAACTGGTCAACCTTGCCAAGGGGCCTTGAAGTTTAGGGGATGTGGAGGACATAGGTCCTGAGCTTATTTTCCTGAGCTGTATGGTCAGGGTCCTTCTCTTGCCATCTCCTCTCTAAACAGCTGAAATGGACCCTGTAGGACTTGTTGCCATGGTAACTCAGTGCTTTTTTTTTTTTTTCCTGTCCCTCCAGCATCTTGCTTGCCTTTGGCTCTCCTAATTCCAATACAGTACTTAAATGGTAAGTGGCAGTGCAACAGACAGGTTGAGAATGAGGTCATTCCTGAATCAAACAAACATTGGCTTGTGCTTGAATCTTTAGGTTGGAAATCCAGCCTTAACCTTTATCACTGCACAGAGTTGGTTTTGTTGTTGTTGTTGTTGCTTTTGGTTTTTGTTTTGGTTTTTTTTTTTTTTTTTTTTTTTTTTTAGCAGCAGACAGCACAACCTTTGCTAATGTTTAGCTGTGTCTCCTGGACAAGCATTGTTGGTTCACTGTACTGTTTGTGTCTGCAGGTTGTGGAGCTAAATGTCGGGGGTCAGTTCTACACCACCACCATGGGCACCCTGATGAAGCATCCAGGTTCCAAGTTTTCACAGATATTATACCGATCCGAGAAATACTACAGGGATGCACAGGGCCGCGTCTTCATTGATCGTCCTGGCACCTACTTTGGGCCTATCTTGGACTACCTACGCACTGGGAAAGTGCCCACAGAGTACATTCCTGAGGTATACCATGAGGCTAAGTTCTACCAAATCCATCTTTTGGTCAAAATTTTGGAGGACATGCCACAGATCTTTGGTGAACAAGTGGCTCGAATGCAGTTCCTGCTGGGAGTGCCAAACTACAAAGAGAACCTGGAGGTCCTGCTGCACCTGGCTCGGGCAGAGGCCGTGGCAATGCGATTGTCAAAGGTGGTGGTGTGTGTGGTGCATACAGAGGAGGAAGATGCAAAGTGTGTGGAACCATTGCATATCTTGGAGGCCAAAAAGACACCTGTTGTCAAATTTGGGCCCTGGAAGGCAGGCCCCGGGAACGAGGACCTTGTGTACTGCCTGGAGAAGGACATTAGAGCCCAGGGGTATAAGGTGTCCCCTCAGAGGTACCACCTGAATAGGGACCCCTACACATGCTTCTGGATATTCGTCTTCACTTGGTGGTGATCCCCAGGAATGGGGACTGTTTGTTAGGGGCTGTGGTTGTGATGAAAAAAATAAAAAGACCCTAACTTAGCAAGGGACCACTGACCCTAGGCCACGTGACAGGAGGCCACAAGCAGTTCCCACAAGAAAAAGGGAATTTAAGCACATCACCAACTGTATCAACAAATGGCCCCCACCCCATTGTCTTTAAGAAAACTGGGAACTAGATGGCCTCTTGACCTGCTGGGTCTTAAATCTCCCTGAGCACAGGATGTGGTAATCAACCCCACCTGAACAGTTGTAGCTTCTTTGCTCAATACCCTTTGTCTTGTGACAACCTTGTATGGAAACTTCATAACTTTGTGCGGTAAGAAATCTCTGTAACCATGGAAACCTCATTACATGAGATCAGAGATCTCATGACTCCCCATTTTCCCCTTTAAAAGCTTCTCTTTTTGGCTGGTTGGCATTTTATTTCCCCCACCATGGAGTGGGATCCAAACTGGCCAGCTTGAACAATAAAAAACAAAACAAAACAAAACAAAAAACCTTTGCTTTTGGATTAGAAGTGTCCACTCCTTGGTTTAGTCTCTGGGATTCAGAAAACCTGGCACAACATTGGTGACTTGTGAAATCACTTGCCATCAAAATCCATGTAGCTCTAAATCTGAGACTGTAGTTCCAGCAAGGAGGCAGAGGCAGGTGAATCTCTGAGTCCAAGGCCAACCTGGCCTACAGAGGGAGTTCCAGGAGAGTCAGAGCTATACAAAGAAACCCTATGTCAAAAACAAACAAACATAAAAGCCAGTGGATAAACACTAGCTGGGCAAGCCCAGTGCCTTAAATTGGATCTCTAGTGCCCACAATGAAAGAACAGAACCAGTTTTTTTTTGTTTGTTTGTTCAGAACCAGTTTTTATTTATTTATGTATTCTTTTAAATTTTATTTTATATTCCAACCATGGTTTTCCCTCCCACCCCTCCCCTGCTCCCCCTCACTCCCCTCCCACCCCCAGTCTACTCCTCCTCATGGGCAAGGGCTCCCTGAGGAGCCAACAAAGTCTGACACAATAGGTTGGGGCAGAGCCACCCCCTCTCCCATGCATTAAGGCTGAGCATGGCATCCCACCATAGGGAATGAGCTCCAACAAGTTAGCTCATGTACTAGGTTTGTTTCATGGTCCTACTGCCAGGAGCCCCTCAGATAGTCCAAGCTTCACTACTGTCTCCCACATACCAAGGGACTAGTTTGGTCCCCTGGAGGCTCCACAGCTGTTGGTCTGGAGTTCATGAGATCCAATGAGCTTGGTCCAGCTGTCTCTGTAGATTTCTCCATCATGATCTTGACCTCCCTTGCTCATATGTTCCCTCCTCCCTCTCTTTTGATTGGGTTCCTCGAGCTCGGCCTGGCTCTTTGGCTCTGGATCTCTGTGTCTGGTTCCATGATTACTGGATGAAGGCCCTCTCAGTCATCTGTGCCCAGAACCAACTTTTAAGAATTATCCTCTGGGGGCTGGATAGATGGCTCAGAGGTTAAGAGCTCTGGCTGCTCTTCCAGAGGTCCTGAGTTCAATTCCCAGCAACCACATGGTGGCTCACAACCATCTGTCACAAGATCTGGTGCCCTCTTCTGGTGTGCAGATATACACGCAAGCAGAATGTTGTATATATAATAAATAAAATCTTTAAAAGAAAGAATTATCCTCTGACTTCCACAGGTATGCCATGGCATACATATATCCATGTGGGTGCGTGTACGTGAGTGTGCACGTGTGTGTGTGTGTGTGTGTGTGTGTGTGTGTGTGTGTGTGTGTGAGAGAGTGTGAGTGTGTGCGCACACACACATACACACACCTTAAAAGATAGAACATGGGGCTGAAAAGATGGCTCAGTAGATAAGAGCTTTTGCAGAAGATCTGGGTTTGGTTCCCAGTACCCTGGTGCAGTGGTTTACAATTTAACTGCTTTTAACTCCAGCTCCAAGAGATCCTGTGCCCTCTTTTGGTCTCCATAGGCAACTACATCCTCATGCATATACCCTCACACAGATACACATCATTTTAAAAAATGTTAAAACAACAGGCTAGCAAGATGGCACTTGCTGCCAAGCATGACAACCCAAGGTTCATCCCTGGGATCCACACACAAGAAAAGAGAAGTGTGTCATGTAAGTTGTCCTTTGGCCTACACACACATAGATAGATAGATAGATAGATAGATAGATAGATAGATAGATAGATCCTCTAAAACAGCAGCCAGTGCTCTTAACTATAGTCATCTCTCTAGCTACTAACGTGGTTTCGTTTCCTTCCTTCCTTCCTTCCTTTCTTCCTTGCCCATATGTACATAATACCATCTCCAAAGTGGTTTCGTTTCCTTCCTTCCTTTCTTCCTTGCCCATATGTACATAATACCATCTCCAACACAACTGCATTTTTCTTTGAGACAGAGTCCCACTCTGTAGCCCAGACTGGTCTGGAACTCGCTAGCTCAGGCTGGCTCCAAATTCATGGTAATCCTTCTGCCTCAACCCTTCACGTGGTGGAATTACAGGTTTGAAACACCATGTCTGGCTTTACAATTGTACTGTTTTTGTTTGTTTCTTTGTTTGCCAAGACAGGGTTTTTTCTGTGTAACAGCCCTAGCTATCCTGGGACTCACTCTGTAGACCAGGCTGGCCTCAAACTCACAGAGATCCACCTGCCTCTGGAAGTAAAGGTGTGTACCACCACCGCCCAACTACAATTGTACTCTTAAAAAGAGAAAAAGAAAATGAATGTAATTTTGCAATCAGCAATCTCTGCCATATTTATTCAAAAGTTCTGGTCAGCTGTTTTTATTAATTTCAAATTTGATTTGTGTGCACCTACAGCACACTATGGATTGCATAGGCAAAGGTCAGAGGACAACTTGCAGAAGTCTGTTCTCTCCTTTTACCATGTGGGTTCCAGAGATCAAACTCAGGTCTTTAGGCATGTTTGGGAAGCACTTTTCCTAGCTGAGCTATCTCACCAGCCCTCAAACGGCTGTTTTAATACCTTAGTCTTAAGAAAATACTCTTGAGTCAGGTATGGCATTGTGTGTCTGTTATTCCAGCACTGAAGAAGCATAGAGGCAGAAGAACTGAGAGTTTGAGGCCAGTTTGTACTATTTAATGAGCTCTAGGTTATTCACCTTGATCTTTAAAAAAAAAAAACTACTTAAAGAAAATTTATGAAAATCAGAAACAAGCCAAGAGTAACAAAATAAAGAAACTTGGAGGAAACAATATAAAGAGCAGAATGTTAAAGTAACTATAGTAAATATGTCCAGGGACTTCGTGTGTGTGTGTGTGTGTGTGTGTGTGTGTGTGTGTGTGTGTGTGTGTGTAGACACATGCAATGGATACATGTGAGGATGTAGGTGGCATGCCTGTGTGTATGCTCATACGGAGTCCAGGGAAGATATCAAGTGCTTCCCAGTATTTGCTACCTTTCTGTTGCTGTGACAGAACATATTGACAAGGCAACTTCTAAAAGAAATTAGTTTGGCTTTTGGTTCCAGACACTTGGAGTCTATAATGGCAGAGAGAGAATGGCAGCGGGAAGTAGGCATGACTGCAGAAAGCTGGAACCTCACATTTTGAACCATAAGTACAAAACAGAGTGAAGTGGGAATGGCAGAAGGATTGTAACTGTCAGAGGCTATCCACAGTGACGCACTTCCTCCAGCAAGGCTGCACCACCTCAAGTGCCTGGACAGAGCTGTCAACTGCAGATCAAACGTTCAAATGCCTGAGACTATGGGGTACAGTTCTCATTCAAACCACCATACTCTTACCATCCTCTGCTGTATTGCCTGGAGACAGGGTCTCTCACTGAACTGGAAACTTCCTATTTAAGCTAGACTGGCTGGACAGTGAGCTCCCACGAGCTACCTGTCTCTGCCGCCCAGTGCTGGGGTTACAGGTACACACAGCCATGCCCAGTTTTGGTTTTGTTTTTTTATGTCAGTGCTGAGGCTTAAATTTGAGTCCTCATTCTTGCATAGCATGCAACCACTTAGCATCCTGACCACTTAGCTATTTTTCCAGACTCTGATTTCCTTGTTTCACTTAAATGGTAAGAGCCAGAATTACCTCTCTAGTTGGAACAATTAAAAGCTGGACAAAATATGTGAAACAATGTACGAAAATACAGACAGAACAGGGAAAGATAACTAAGATTTGTCCTTACAATTACACAGTTAAAAAAAAACAAAAACAAACAAACAAAAAACCATATTAGTGAACTGGCTGCTATGTCTTTCACTCCTTTTTGAGAGAGGCAGAAGGATCCTGAGTTCAGGGAAATATAAGTTCTCGTCTCACAAAAAGTAAATAAGACATACTTTTAAAACACACTAAATGGAGCTGGTCGGTGGTGGCGTATGCTTTTAATCCCAACACTTGGGAGACAGAGGCAGGTGGATCTCTGTGAGTTCCAGGACAGCCTGGTCTACAAAATGAGTTCCAGGACAGCTGGGACTATTCAGAGAGACCCTGCTTCAAAAGCAAAACAAAACAGGAAAACAAAACAAAACAAAACCTAAATGGGATTAACAGCCCCTGAAACATTTCAACTCTTTTGTCCCAAAACAGTGCATTTGAAGACATGGCAACAAAGGATATCCAAAATGAATTCCAGGGAGGAAAAACTATTGAAAAAATAAAACCCAGGGCTGGAGAGAGAGCTCAGCAGTTAGGAGAAGTTTGTGCTCTTCCACCCAGGTTCAGTTTCTAGCACATACATTGGGTGGCTCACAGCTGCCTGTAGCTTCAGTTCAGGGATCTGACATCCTGTTCTGACTTCCACAGGCTCTAAATGCATGGGGTTCTTGAACAAAAACACACACACACACACACACACACACACACCATTAAAAACAAACAATAACAAAAACCCCAAAGCATCAATGAGGAATGGAACAAATTCTAATACCAAATATTCCTATATTTGGAGTTCTTGATGGAGTGAGGTGCTATTGATACAGTAGCTGACTTACTGTAGGTAGTAAGAGAAAAGGGATCATGGTGAAAATTACAAGTGACTCACAAAAGTTACAGTCAGAACATACATTAGGGTTAAAGCAATAAGGCCTGGAATGAGAGACAGAGAAGCTTACAGTTGGATGTGTAATAGCTAAGTGGACCTTATAAGAGACATCCAGGCTCTGAGAAGCAAAGCCAGTATTGGTGGGCAGGTTGTCTAGCTTCCGTGAGACACCCCATCTCCCTAAGTCTTGGAAAACTTACTAGACAACACTGCCCTTTTATATAGTTTTGCTTCTTCTGCAGAGAATTCTGTCAGATAGATAGAAAAGACACTAGAGCAGTGTATCTCAATCTTCAATGAAGTTCCTGTGTTGTGGTGACCTCTGACCATAACATTATTTTTGTTACTACCTTCATACTTATAATTTTGCTACTGTTATGAATTGTAACGTAAATATTTTTGGAGATAGAGGTTTGCTGAACAGGTTGAGAACTACTCCACTAGACCATCCCATAGACAAGGATTAATTAAGATA